TGTTGGAGCGGGTCCAGAGGAGGGCCACAACAATGATCCGAGGGCTGGAGCACCTCTCCTATGAGGACAGGCTGAGGGAGTTGGGCTTGTTCAGCCTGGAGAAGAGAAGGCTGCGGGGAGACCTGATTGTGGCCTTTCAGTACCTAAAGGGGGCCTATAGGAAAGATGGGGAAAATCTTTTTAGTAGGGCCAGCTGTGACAGGACAAGGGGTAATGGTTTTAAACTAAACCAGGGTAGGTTTAGACTGGATATAAGGAAGAAATTCTTTACAATGAGGGTGGTGAAACACTGGAACAGGTTGCCCAGAGAGGTAGTGGAGGCCCCATCCCTGGAAACATTCAAGGCCAGGTTGGACAGGGCTCTGTGCAACCTGATCTAGGTAGCAGTGTCCCTGCTCACTGCAGGGGTGTTGGACTAGATGACCTCTAGGGGTGCCTTCCAACCCAAAACATTCTATGATTCTATGAACTTTCATTCCTTTTACATTGTAGGAGTCGCTCGCAGTATCTTGACAAGTTCATGTATGCTCAGTGATTATATACAGATTAGGAATTTCTAAAGGAGGTCTCTAACACTCAACAAAATGATTTAGGAGTCCAAAAAACATAGTAGGTTGAAAACAGCATAGCTGGAATAACTGGGCTCTCAGCTTCCATGAGCATTTGTCCCAGCATTTCACCCTATACTTCTGGGTGCGAGCATTTGATTGTAAATACCACTGTTGTGGAAACTTGGCTGAAGGGAATAGACAGACTGTCACACACCCTGAAATGGAGATGATCATTATCATGACTTGAATGAATAAACGGGTATGACTGGGAACAGCTGGTTTTGAACTGTGAGGCAGCTCTGGGAGGGATGCACAGCGCTTGCTATCACATGCACCTTTGGTCTGGCTGACAGATCCCGTTGCTCATGAGCCCCAGAGGTTGCAGGGAGCTACGGTGCTCTGAGGATCTGAACTGTCTTGCTGTGAAGGTGAAACCTTCAAGCTACAGAAGACCCTGCACGCAGCTGGGTTAAGACACATACTGTTGGGGGGAGTCCTCCTGGCCAAGGGACCCAAGCTGTGTCTAGATGAGGTTATCCCAGAATGCTTCCCAAATCTTAGATCTGGAGGCATGCTTTGGCTGCGTCCCAGCTCCAGATTGGGTATGTACCAGCAACCCCAGTGCCTCAGTTTGCAGACAGAGGAAACCCAGATGGGAATGCTGGCGCATCGCAATGGCTCCCTACCCTGCAGGGGCTGGAGACCAAGACACAAGGACTGGTTAGCATAGAGTGAGTTCAAGCGACCTGTCTGGCCACGTAGAGCTTTACCCCTCTCCTGACTGTCTGCCCATTTCTCCAGCAAAGATCAATGCCTCTTATTAATCAGACCCCTACTGGAACAGGAACAACCCCACCAGACAACATCTCCAAATTTCCAACTGACTCAGTTATAGAGCTGTAAAACTGATCCCAACTGCACTGGTTTTGTACAGGGCTGGTTTGTTTTTTTTTTTCTTTTTTTATTGGGATGCCATGCAGATGTAAGCCAAGCACCACGCAAAAACCTAAGTGGATGATGCCACCTTGTCAGTTAAGGTCATTATCCCACCACAAACAAATAGTAAAAAGGCTCTATTTTCTGCAAACCTCAGTTGACCGACATTAATTATGCGACATACTGTGAGTCCGTATGGACTGTGTTCCATAAAGGTTTTTCTTATGGTCTTCTGGATCCACATCCTGCCAAACACCGCTTGTTTTCATGGCCCATCTTATTTACTGCCTTATTAGTCCAGTGTTAGATTTTTTCCCCAGTCCTCTGGAACTTCCCCAGAGTTCCCAGATTTGTTTAAAAACTGACACTAATGGTTCGGAGAGCTCTCAGGCCAATTTGTTTATCCTTTGATGCAAGTTACCTGATCCTGCAGAATGTCTAACTTTAATCACTGCTGTTTAACATTCGGCTTCGTCACTGGGAGAATACAGTGTTTCATTATCTCCGTAAAGTATGAATGTGTCATCCTCCTTCTTTCCAAAGAGAAAAATAAATGTTGAACAAATAACTTTGTCTCTTCTACACACAGGCTGAATATTTTCCCATTATTGTCTGGGATCTCATTATAGGATTTGTTTTTTCTGATACATTTAAACAATTTCATATTATCATTAACCCTAGGGGCCAGAGATTTTTCATTCCTGCCTTTAGTTTCTCTTCCCAGGTGTCTGGACGTTCTCACCAATTTCTACTCACCGCTATCAGATTCCTCCTTTTTTATTTACCATTAACATCAACCATTAACATGCATGCACATCGGTGCCACATATTTATGCCCATAATGCTATTTATCTAAATGTGTGTGTGTTTATATATATATATGCTAAACCTATGATACAGCTTCTTCCACCTTCTCTTGTAGCTGGGCTTGCTTATGCAGAACAGTGTTCAGGCTTCCAGAATAACAGTTTCCTTACAGCATCTCACAGAACAGCCTTAAACATTCCCTGATTATCATCCATTCAGTTTTGTTTAAATAATTCCTTCCACTCCTTAATTTTACTCCTAATTATTTTCAGCCCATGGTATTTGTTCTTCTGCCAGAACCAGGGGCTAGAGCTGGGCACCTCTGTGCTTTTAAAAATCCGGTCCCTCAGCACATATAAATAGCACTGGTCAGAGCTTTTCTGTGTTAGCACATAGTGTCATGCTCGCTGGCAGGGAGACAGCCTGGGAATAGGTTATGGAGTCCCTGCCCATCATGAGACTGGCGAGTTGCATACCTAAAAGGCAGAGGAAGCTGGTTTGGGGTTCTTTGGGGGGGGAGGATGCATCCCTCCTCTGCTCCCAGGCTCAAGAAGAGGGAGGAAAAGCCACTGGGGACCAAAGACAGCTTTCATCAATTGAGATGTTTTATTTTGTGTTGGCTTTTTTTCTTAAACATCCTTTGTTTTCTAACAATAAATCATATCCTGAGGCAAAAAGCCTTTAAAAGGACCGGGCATGGAGTCTGCTTCCCTTCCCTGGCTGGCGAGGCAGGCCACCAGCTGACAGCAGTCATCAATCTGCAACTCAGCGATCAATCTATCTTCATCTGTCAGTGCAGGGACCCGCGCGGGAGGACCCCGGCTGTGCCAGCCTGCCATCCCCCGCCGGCTCCAGCAGCGCCCCGGGGGTTCACCAGCGCTGGACCCAATCTTCCTCGCCACCTGGTCCCCCGGAGCCAGCTCCCACCATCTCGGGCACCATTCCCTCAAGCCCCCCCAGCGTGTTTTGCAGTCGGCAGTCTGAGCACACAGTGGCTGAGCCGAGTCGCCCTCAGAGTCCCCTCCCGTGATCCATCAGAGAGCAGGCACCCCACCTCCCACCCTTCTGAAAACCCAGCAACGCTAAAGAAGGCAACAGCATCTTTTCCAAACAGAGGGCATGGTCAATAGCCCACTCATGGGTAAACCCCCTCATGAGGTTTCAGAAATCCCAAGCCATTCCTTTTTTGCCTTCAGTGGCTCTTTCTACCTCCTGTTGTTTACTGCCTGGGCTTCTAGGTTTGCTTTTCAACATTTGTGCTGCCAGGAGTCAGCAGTTTATGGTGGCGCCTACGTCTTCTGTTTACCTTCTTAATATTGTTCCCCAAAGATGCTCCATTAAAGCACTCTTAACTGCTCTACCTCGTTTGTTATCCAGAATATTGGTTGCTCTCCCAGGGAGATGGAGGTGGTCCAGCTCATACGCTTCCTCAGAAAGTGGACCCGATGCTCCATGAATTAAAACACCTCCGGTTTACCTCCCCTTTACACCTTCTGCCCCTCGGTGGTCTCCCTCTCCGTCTGCTTTTGCTTCCAAGATGCAAGGAGGGATCTTGCCGCCAATCGTCTGAACTTTCCTCTCCTTCAATTCCCTCCTGAGATCCCTCAAGTTCTTGCTGATCTGAGAAGTATTTTATGAGGCAATTTTGTTCATGCCAAATGTGTCATAACCAATGGATCCCTGCCTACAGTCATCAGAACCCCGTTCAGCCTCTCGGTGATGTGTGTTGTGCTGGAGCCAAGGAGACCGCACACAGGCCCGTCGTCTTTCTGTCCCTTCTTCTGCATCTGGCTGGGCAGAAGATTTGTGTCTGCCTGCATACGTTTGCTCCGTTGGCCATCACTCGCTGTCATACTCCCCTTGAGTCATGCTCAGAAGGGGCCATCAGAGACTGTTTCTGCCTTTCTGATGCTGGTGCAGGGTCAAGAGCTGCTGGTCAAGAGCCACACTTCAGTACCTCATGTCTTCTCCACCAGCACAGGCAGTGCCTTGCCCTCTGCCTGCAGGTTTCCATGCAGCAAGCAGAATGTGTTGCTTTCTCCCTGGATCAGGGTCCCCGATTGGACCCATTCCTGGGGAAATGGCCTCAAAGCTTTGAGGCATGTTCCTCTGCTCCTTTTCACTCCTGGCTGATGACATCTACCCAGCCACAGCAGCCAGACACATCAGTTGGGATGGGTCATCCCCCATCTTGGTGCAGTGAGACTGCAAACATGGTGTTTGCACCCTGAGGCCCAGGGGAGGGAGGCTGGAGAGACTTAATTGCCCAATGTGGATGGCCAACCTGGCCATCCCTGCATGCTCACTGCCCCTCTCCTTCCTTGGCCAGGAGAAGGCACAGCCTGTGGGCGGCATCGGTTGTTTTGAGAACCGAACACTGTAGCCGCTGCCCTTTCCCCGGGTTTTGTGACTCTGAAGGTCCCGCACACAATCATGAGCCTGGCGTCCTCTATCACAAGACGGGGTCATGCCTTATGGGATGGGCACAGACCTTTGTTCCTGTGGCTGGAAGCTGCCTGCCTGCCCCATTGCAGAGCAGTGACCTGGCAGGCATCATCCAATAAGCAGATATGACACAGAACTCCACCATGAGCATCCTCAACCAGGACTGCATGTCCTGGCATGTCATGGGTGACCAAAGGCAGATACTGCTGCCAGGCAGGGTTATGGCACAAGGTCCCCAGTGACTCCCCAATGCTACTGGTGATTGAGATCTGCCCTTGCAATCCTCAAGGCTTTTCCCCCTCATCAGAGCAGGACCATGTCACGGAGAGGCCTGTCCTGCTCAGAGCCAATGGGGCAAAGAGGTCTGCCCCATCTCACAGCCCAGGGAGAAGGACAGGGCCACGACAAGGTTTCCTCCAGCGCTTGCTCCGTGTTGGGGTTGGAGAGGATTTCAATATTGTAAAAGCACCAGTCAGGGTGAACATTTCAGGGCCGGGGGTGGTGGAGGCAGCACATGGATGAGAGGATGTGGGGGCTTCTCAAGGAAGGGAGAAACCTCCAGCCTGGAAACCCTTTTGTTCCTCCTGGCGGAGTTTGGGGCAGGCGGTGGGGTGGGGGGGAAGGCGTGGTGGGGTCTTGACACGGAGCCGCCTGGAGCTGATGTCCCAGCCTCTCTTAAAATGTCCTCGAGCACTTGGATTTGCCTCAGATTAAGTCCAGTTGCCTGGGCTGGCGCGTACCAGTACACAGGCTAAATGAGAACCACCCGTAACACCTCCTGTCCTCCCTCCTCCTCTCCCGCGCAGGTTCATTAAGGCCTTCCCCAGCGAAAACAGGCTGTGTTTCAGGGGGAACGCCGAAGCGTTTGATATTTTCCACTCTGCGTGTCAAGGGCATTTACAGTCGGCGTCAGGCTGTTCCGTCAGTCTGAGGGAAGCACTTTGAAGTGTTTGTGGTAGAGGCCACATGTGCAGTCAAGATGTGCCGCTGTGCTGGGCTCCCCAGCCTCTCGCTCCCTTTGCATTCCCAGCACCATGTGACAATCAACAACACGGCTTAACCCTTTCGCACCGCTGGCTCGTCCCACTTGCAGACGGGCGACAGGGTCCTCGTCCCTTTATGCGTCTTGGTGGCTGTGCCCAGGAAGTCTGCGGCCACCCTGCTTTTTTTCGGAAAAGCAGTAGCACGGCTCGGGCAAACATGGCTGGTGAAGATGATAGGGTGGAGCTGGGAGGCCTCGAAGCTTCTAGTCCAAGTGGAGGATCTCATGCTAATCCCCACACATGCTGCCAGAGGTCCTGCTTTGATGATGAAAGTAGCACCGCTTGCCACAAGCAGCTGTGGAGCCGGCTCCCACCCTTGCCCGTCCTGCAGCGGGACCCGAGAAGCCACATGGAAGGAGTCCCAGTGGCTGTGACACAACAGGGATGTCCATGATGACATTACTTCCCATCCCCCCGGCGTGATGGATGGCACGTGATGAAATGGGCAGCAATTGGGCTGCACGGCTGCTGCCCAGGGACCTCCGGGCACAGGGTGAACAATTGCAGCCACTTTGCCTTGGCGGCACTGGTGAGAGCCCAGCAATGTTTCGAGGAGCTCTCTGCAGGGGCATTGGTCAGGGATTAATCTAATTTTTTTGTGCAGGGCTTGCACAGTAGTCGTGTAGTGCTTTGCCACAGCTATGGGCTTTAGGTTATTTTCACGTGCCCAGAGAGTGCCCCGGAGAGAAGCTTGCTTTGGAATAAAACATGGGAATCAGCAAGCACAGCTTTGTGGGAAGGAGAGAAGAGCCTCCCAGCCATACACCTCTCCTTGGCTCCCTAAAAAGAGTGCCAGGATAGAGTGGAGAAATTCGAGACACGTGGTATCATCACGTATGCTTCCTTGGTGCCTGAGAGGCACCTTCTCCCCTGGCTCTCCGCAGCCCCCTCCAGGCAGGAGGAAAGTGGGCTTCTCCAAGGAGTCCCCTGCCAAGGCTTCGGTCCTTGCAGGTGGATCTTCCATCTTCTGTTGGGAGCCCCTGGCTGATTATTGGGAGCTGGGCTTGGCTCGCACCTTTGGAAGCCCTGTAAGATAGAAACTCAAACTTCACCACCCCACAAGGCTGTCTCTGCCAGGGGCTGAGCTGCAGCCTCCATGGGGTGGTTTTAATTCTGAGCAGATTCCCAGTCTGATCCATGCAGCCTGGACCCACTGCAGTGATAAAAAGGACGTGGAAGGCAACAGGGGAGGCAAGAGTGTGGTGGAAAAGGCAGAGGCCTTTCTGTGCAAGCTCAGAGCTCAACAGCTATGAGCTACGGGGACAGGGGCGTGAGCTGCAGAGAGGCCGCTCCCACCCTTTGCTGCTGCCTCGAGCACAGCAGTGGCTTTCAGAGGCCAACACGGCGCTGCCCCGTTTGCTTGACCCTGCATCCCCGGAGCAGGGAGCAGAGCCGAGGCTGCAGGCATGTTCCCTGCGATGCTGCCGGTCTGTGGTGGCAGCGTGGATCCAGCATGGGAATGCTGCTCCGGCAGCTGCAGTGTTAATGCATGGCACAGAAAAAAATAATCTTCCTTTTCAGTTACTGCATTACAGAGGGTGGAGGCCTGGGGGAAGGGTGTCATTGTACTGGCTCTTGCTTGGCGGGGAAAAGAAGTCTTGTGGGCCACAGCTTCCTAGAAAACTTGAAGCCAATGCGTTATCCAGCGTAACTGACCTCTCCTCCTTCCATGAAAGCCCCTACCCTGCAATTAATTCGAGTCCTGGAAACCCCTGCCTCCCACCCTGATTTCCCAGCCCCTGGCAAAGCGTCTGACTCAACCCGCATTTCTCTCGCCACTGCTCTTCTCCTTTACCGAGATGATTGACTCTGTCACCCAGGGAGGACTGCGCTTTGCCATCGAGTGGGTCGACCAGACAGCCCCGTCCTTGCCTCTGTGTGTGTTTTCATGCGCCTCTGTGCTGAGCTGGCACCGGGAGGAGAGGTGGCCTGAAGTTACAGTCTGCTCTGATTCATCAGACCACTTCGAAATCCCAAATCCTCTAAATCTGAATGGTCAGAATTAGACACGTGACTCCTGGTGCCACCCCTGGAACACCATCCGAACAACCTGATAAAAGTAGGACCCGTCCACAAAACTTCAGCCATCGAAACATCACCTGCTGAGCCTGAGTCCATCATTGGCTCGGTGGCAAGAAGGGGATGCAGGATGCCTACCTCAGGTCAGAACGGCTGCCCAAAACAGCCTGGCAAACACTAGACAGCTGGAGCAAACGCCAGGGTGGCTGGAGCTAGCAGCCCCGCACTGGGCTGCCTGGCAGCTCACCACGGCTGTACACGGTGGGGCTGGTCTCTGCCGCTCTTGGGAGCTGCTGCTCACCAAAGGGCTTCAATGCTGAGCTGAAACAAAGCCGAAACAGGGCAGGTGGAAGGGGGCTGGATGGGTTTTTGTGCCAGTTTTCTAAGGAAACACCACTGACATGCTAACGCTCTGCCTGGGTTTCCTAATCAGTTTTGAACTGGTTGGCAAGTTTTGAAACCCATTTGGTCAAAGGGGCAGACGTCTCAGAAGCAGTAAATTAATGACAAAATACCCTTACGGGAGAGAGATCCAAACTGGGGGCCCAAGTGAAGGGAAGACGAATAACCTCACTTTTACTAGACACCAGGAGGTAGACGTAGGAAAGCTGGCTTCATCGATTTCACAGACCCACTTGCTTTTATAGCTCTGCTTCAGTGCACAGGGGAGGCTGAGTTTCAAAACTTAACCAAATTAGTAGGTGTGGATTATGCCTGTTGTATCATTCTTATTCCGACCCTAAGCTTGTTGGGGCAGGAGTCAGAGCTTCCGAAGGGTCTGCCAAGAGCTACCCGAGTCACACAGACACGGAGATGGATCCCCATCTGGGCTGCCCTCCTGACAGCAACCCCAGAGCGGTCCAGGAGCAGATGCACAAGCCCAGGGAGCAAACTCTCCGCTCAGAGCAGCTCTCGGTGCTGGGAGCCAGCAGCCCCCTGACCTTAGTCCTGCCCAGGGGCCTACACTGCTTTCCAAGTCGATGTTGTCGACTCAGTGCAAGCCTGATGAACTAAACCGAATAAAAGGCGGAGACACCACGTGAGCAGAAGCTGGTCATGCCTGTGGTGTATTAGGTTTTTTGGTTTGAAGGATCTTTCTGATTAGGCTTGTTTTCCACTTCTGCTGGAATTGATACCTGGGGTAGAAATCAGTTTCTTTAGAGTTCTTCTTTTTCCTCCCCCACTCCTCAAAGGCCCCTCCACTCTGCCGTCAAACTCACGGCACCAAGGGCAGGCGGATTTCCTTCCACCTTGCAAACCCCAGTGAGATTGAACGTGCCGTGGACCCCCCAGCTGTCCATCACCCACCCCGAGATTCAGCCCCGCTGGCACACCAAGCAAGCTTC